CTTAGGGACATGGTTTAGTGGGCATGGTGGCGTTGGGTCGACGGTTGGACTCGATGATCTTAGAGGTCTTTTCCAACCTTAATTATCCTATGATTCTATGTTGTTGGCTTGCATTTATTTATTTTTTAAATTTTTTTTCAATTGACTGGCATCTCCAAGAATCCAGTTCCTGCCACTGCCCCTTTGCTCCAGCCCCAGCCACACAAAATGTAGACATGTAAAGCCCTGGAAGCCAGATTTCAAGGCACTTGTGCAAGAACTGTGCTGGTGAAGTCTGCTAGATCATGTGAAAACTAATCCTTTCAGGCATATACAATGCACAGATCATGTATTGTCCTGGTTTCGGCTGTGGTTAAACCACAACATGTACGTAGCATGCTCAGTACAATGAAATTAGAACTCGGGTTAGTGCTTTTAAAAAACATTACCAGAGTACGCAATCAAAAATCCAGACATGCATAGATACTATCTAGCATAGTAGTGGTCTCTCTCTCTATTTTTGCTTGAAACCATGTTTTCCAGATACGAGTTACATTCAGTTTAATGAAAAAAACCTCAAGGCCCCTGTAGACTGCCTCCTGCCTTACTGTGCAGCCCCAGTGACACCCTCCTACCATCCACTGTCCCCTCCTGCAGTCCTTGACCTCCCTCAATGGCAAGAAACCACATTTTTCCTTTTATTCCCAAGAGATCATTGGTAATTGAAGGCAGCAGTGGAATGAAATAAGGTGCATGCATGGGATTCATTCCACCAGTCAGCGACAAGCAACCACCTCTGCAGTGAAATACAGCAACATTTTAGCCTAGTTTCCGATGAAAATAAGAGTTATCTGATCTTCTGTCTGTCCAGCTGGCTGTCCCATCCTCACAACAATTGAGCTCGTGAGCCGATTTCTGCCAAACGTGGCAGAGGCACAGATCTTAAAAGCAGTAAATTCTTAGAGGTTTTATGAAAACAGACAGCTGTGCAGACGAAAGCAGGATAAACGTGTGCCTCCACGGAAGGAAAAGCTGCAGTGAGGCCGCGTTAGCTCTCCATGCTGTTGGACCAACCAGCCAGCCAGCAATCAGCCCATTTGCTTCCATGGCACGGGGCTGCTTGCTCAATACGTACTTCGCTTGATCCAGCCATGGTACATGCTGCTTTTTGCTTAGTTGCGTGGTTTGGGGACATAGGCAGGCACTGGTGGGTGCCAGGAAGAGAGAAGTGAGGGGGATGAAGCAGGTTTAGAGACATGGTGAGAAGTGTGGCTAATGAAGGAAGGGCGTTAAGGGAGAAAAGAAAACACATCTGAGATGAACAAGGCTTCAGTCATTCAGCTGCTCATAGAATAAACTTACTTGTTTTTAAAATATACCCCCATTATTTAAGACAGTCTATAAAAAGAACATCATATTTGACAAATGGCAGGAGGGCTCCAACAAGGAAAACGTAAATTGCCCAGCCAGCACATGGCCAAGACGTGCTCTTGGGGGAAAACAAGAAATTAGAAGCTTAATGATGATCATTATCTGTTTTGTACAGAAGAAACCACCTCTGACATTGTACTTCCGATAACAACCTGGGGCACCACATCTATGTTAGTCTAGAAGGAGATATTTCAGTTATGTACTTGCTTCCCCCCCCCCAGCTTTTTAATGACAATTGTCAAACAACTCGTCTGTCCAACTTCAAGGGAAAAATACATGGCCTAAGTCTTCCTCCTCCAGTTTCAGTGGAGTAAGACACAAGAATTAATCTTTCCATCTCTAAATCACTTACAGCAGGTCCCTTTCTCCCACTGAGGGATAACGTGTGCCTTATGCACTGAACTATTTCAGTCCAAATGAAAGAGGTTAATGACAAAGCACCACTCTGATCTTCACACGTTTTAAGGCTATTCAAATTAAAATCTTATTTCAAAAAGTTGGCATGAGCCAAACTTTTATAAGTTCTTTTTTTTTTTTTAATGCATATGTTTCTTTGAAGATCCTTTCAGGAAAAAGATTTCCTAACAAGCCACCCTCCCCCTGCTGCCACTGAAAAATCATCCCTGTGGATAAGGCTGTCAGGAAGAGAAACTGTGTGGCATTCACAGAATAGTGTCACATGCCTGCCTTCCAGTAACCTGATTGAACAATTAAATTGTATTTCTCTTTAAAAAGGGTAAAAAAAAAAAAAAAAATCAAAATGCAGATCTTGCTGTGGTCTGGGATTCGGGAAGATGAATGAGGTACCTAAAAGGGAACAGCAGCTTATAATAGAAAGAGAGGACAGTACATTTTTAAGATAACGTTCAAAGGGAAACTTTTCTTGATGGTAAAACTGCAAAGATTTCTCAGCAAAATCATCTCATCTATTGTCCCTATTGACTCCCTACATTGACTTTTTGTCACCTATTGCATCATGTTCAAGCTCTTCCAATTCATCCAGAAAGGGCAATATAATCTTGTCCCTATCCCTATCCACACTAATGCCTGTATTTTGTCCTTCACTTCTTTGTCAGCTCGTAGGCTTTGTTCTTTCCAACCCCGCGCTAGCTCAGCAGCTGGAAGTCTGCATAGCTCTCTTTTGCATCCTCCTCTCTTGAAAAGGATGACAAATGCTGCCTCAAGATTTGTCCTGTATCAATAAGGAATCACTCTTTCATGAAATCTGGCTGTGCCCATCAGTAACGAGTTCTGAACCCAGGAAAGGAGCTATTTAAAACCAAATCCTCAATTCAGCCTAACAGCAACAGTGACCACAAAAATACCCAGATCTCAGCCACAAGGTACCTGGAAGAGGACACAGACGTGGAGTGAGTCAATACTGTTCTCTACTGTGTTTTTAAAGCAACATGGACAACTGGTCAGGTCAGGGTGTGGATGCAACTGGAAACGACAGAAGGCAACAAGACTCACCCCAAAGAGACCTGAAATTTTTGAGGGAAGTGTTGCAGGCTCCCTGATGGCCCCATCACTGCTCTGAACTTAGTGCTCTCAACAGCTTCAAAATTCTTGGCTTTGAACCCACATTTGTCCCATGCAGTTTGTAACATAGAGCTATTAACTGTGGAGAAGCAACTACTTAAAATCCTACTGCCAACTGGTATAAGAAAATGATGGTGCAATATAACAGCTTACACTTTACAACGTCCTACTGAACTGGGTAACTTCTTTCCGTTAATCCTGGGCACAAGAGCATGCGACAGATTTTGAAGGTGAGAACCTGAGTCTCAAAAGGTAAAGAGCTGTAAGCTAAACACCTTCCGAGTGTGCGTAAATGGTGATAACATAATTTAAAAGACAGGTATCTCCACTTTACTTTATTCCTATGTGCTGTCAGATCGTAGCATGGACAACTGTCAACTACAGTACATCTTTATCTCAGATTCTTCCTTCACAGTCCATCCAGAAGTATCTGAATATTCACCATAGAGTGAATCGTTATATCCGTAATCATCAATACTAAGATCATCTTTGTAGAGTCACCTAAGTGAAGCAATCTGTCCACAAGAACACTGTATGTCTCTCAAGGCTTCTTTTCCAACTGTTGTGGGTTTAACTTGTTGCTGAGGACAACTAAGTTACAAAAGGAGGAAGTGAACACAAAGTCATCCAAAAATTCTCTTTGTAAATTATAAAACATCCTCTATTAAAAGCTAACTGAAAATTATCATGGGTAAGATTTCAAGGAGAAATTCTACCCTTGTCCATCACCAACATTTGAAGAGTATATATTGTTTTCTTGTTATGATTAGCCCAGTAAGAAACTTGACTAGATGATACAAAAGAATTTAGTCCTGCTATACCTTACCATGACAGCCTTAAGATCTTCCCTTGATTTTGCTCCCAAAACAAACACTTTTGTGAATTAAGACCATTCAGGAAAAAAACATGAAATGATGCCATGCTCAGAGGAAAGGACACTTCTCTGTGTATACACAGCACTTGCCACAAGCAATATAAACCAGCAAGAGTAGTCCAACTCTTCAAATTCAGCATTTTCAAACACTCTGCAACTCTTCATCTTCAAGTGTTATACAAAAGACAAAGAATTGGTCACTTTAGTCCATACAACAGAAACTTGCAACTTCAAATATGAGACGACTGAGCTTAGCTCCCAAAGCAATCCAGGGTAAGTATCACATTCAGCATATGATATAAGGAAACAAACTGCAGATAAGGCAGCAGACATTAGCTCCAAGTATCCAAAAGCAGTGGATGAGTGGGTGAGATTGTTTGCATTTCACCCATTGTTTTATGAGTATCTTTTAAGACCTCAACCTCTAGCTGAAAATGCAGAGGGAATAAAGAGAAACCCTGCTGCTTCACAACGTAGTAAGAATAAATAAACAGAGCTTAAAAACTGGAGAGATTCAGACAGCCTGTGTGGCAAAGTAGAGAGGTATTAATACCCTGACGTAGCATGGACAGGATATTCAAGCTCCTGCAAAAGAGAATTATCCAAAACGGCACATTATCTGTTTCCCCACCTTGAAGTTCTCCGCTTCTGCTGTACAGTTCCCTTCTCTGCTCACGCAAATAGGCACTCATGCTAATAGCATGGGAGGAGGACTCAAACCTGTAATTAAAAAAAAATAAAAATAAATCCAGTCGGTTAGCCATCCATAGAAGCATCCTTGTTGTAAGCACCAGTCAGCTCTAAACAAAAAGGACTTCCCTGCATGTTGGAGAAAAATTATCACGGCAGACAAAAGCACTTTTTTCCTATAAAACTCCATCACTGATGCACCACATTCTGCCACCTCTGATCGATACAGCTGTAGCAACAGCCACCCATGACACAGACCTGCCCGCAAAGCACAGAGATGCTCCTCTGCTCTATCAGCTGGGAGCACCCAGGCATTTACGTAGGAATGGCCCCAAAAACTGGTAAAATCCAAACCAAAGCCATAGGCTAGCACCATCTAAATTCCTAACTGACCTATACGTACAAATTAAAAACTAACATTCTCCTGGAAACTAGGGAGCAATAAAATTATTAAGTATTTATCGTATTGCTCTAATACTCCACAAGGACCAATCTGAGAGGCAGAGACAAATATTTTCCAACTGCTGTAGCCCCATAAACATGATTTTTGCCATTGATAGTGTCCTGGTTTCAGCTGGGATAGAGTTAATTTCCTTCCTAGTAGCTGGTACAGTGCTGTGTTTTGGGTTTAGGAGGAGAATAATATTGATAACACACCCATGTTTTAGTTGTTGCTAGGTAATGCTTACACTAGTCAAGGACTTTTCA